CGAACGCTCTCTCTCTCTCTGCTCAGCTCTCTCTCTCTCTCTCTCTCTCTCTCTCTGCTAAACGGCTAGCGCCTGAGGCGAGTGGTTGGCCAATGGGTGGGCGTGTCGCGCCAATAGCGCCGCGGGTAGGGCCATGCTAGGTCGCCGAGGAGCATACCTTCGTCGCGAAGTCCCACCCTTGAAGGGTCCGCTTGCTGGGTAAGTTCCCCTTTTTCGACCATCAACCTTATCGTGGAATACCCTCTGAACTAGTTTGTAAGTGACACATTTCTTATATTCGTGAGCCATGGTCGGGCCAACAACTATTCTAAGCTACCGCTTGGTTGTCAATGGCACTTAGGCTGAATGGCTGCTGTTATGATAAGGACCTCGCAAGGGTGAATGGCTTTTCTGCCTGATGTAGGATGCCAACGACCTCATAGACCACCCTGCCAATGGGATCTTTCAGAAAAAGAGTGATTTCGCTTAATGTAATGTGCAGATTGCCTCCAAACATTACTTCGCACTGAGTAGTGGTTGGTTTCGACTCGGGATATCTCCTCCTGAAAACGCGACGCGACCGCACGCGGCTGCTATTGTGCGTCACATTTGTCGGCAAACGCTTCTTCACTTTTGGCTTTAACTAACAATAAGCATGAGATCACAAAAAGCGAGAAGTGGTAGAAGCGGTAGAAGCGCTCATGGGGTTTTGGCATGTCTTACATACATCTGATCTTGACAGAGCAACGATAAGCATACCGTACCTAACGTGACTCGTGCCGGGACCGAGTCTTTGTCCAACCAGAACGAGACCCACGAGACAATGACAAGCATAAACGAAGGGATATACAGCTGAAACATCGTATTAGCTGAGATAATGGAGAGTGAGAAACAGAGGGAAGAAAGAAGACAGAGACAGGACGATCACAGGACGCATGGACGACAGCACAATGGCATACACAGCATTAGGACACACCTGCAGCAGGTAATAGCTGAATTCGCGACGTAGCACCATCTGAGTACGCAGGCATGAATATTCCCCTAAAGCATGCCCAACAAACTACTACGTACGTCGACACATCGATTCGATTGATCGTCTCGTTGTCATCAAGACGATCAATAATCGATTAATTGAAGCAGTGAGAGCGCACGAAGCGATGTCGGCAGCCAAAGCGACAGCGACGGCAACTCTTCGGCAGAGCGTTCAGAGTTGAGAAGACGGCTAGCTAACACCTAAGACGTACCCGTATTGGTTTTACTGGTGCAGTACTTGGTGACCACGTCCTGCAGTTCAAAACTCGGTAACGACTGTCGTAAGCCGTCTTTCTGCTGGACCGGGTTCTGCTCTTTCCATTCATACTTAATGTCTTGCGTTGTGTACGCATCTGTAACGAGACAAACATCAACGCCCGGCGTTTCCTGGACGACCTAAGCGGCTTTGAGCGGAAATCCGCTATTTCTGGCCATCTTTAAGCGATCAAGACCACTTACATGAGGCGAGATCAATAAGGCAGTTTTGTCGGTCCAACGGGTAGAATTCCAACGACATTGGACAGGACAGTACCAAAGATAACCTGAAACAAGGATTTGGTGGCCTGAAAACAGGGCCCATTCAAAGATCACAAATAGTGTTGACTACAGCCCGAGCCGTTTTGCGCTTCGTTAGGCAAAGGCAAAGGAAGTGGCGTCGTAACGACTGACGGATGACGAACCTAACGCTGTAAAGAATAGAGCCGTCTTTGTGAATTCGGATGAGCACGTTCGGCTTGTCTATCAGATGACGTCGTGCCTCTCTGAAAGAAGTCAAAAACACGTTCAGCTTCGAGAAAACAGAAGGCTGAAAGCGTCAAGCGGCGCTATCGCAAGGTGCGGGGGCATTAGAGGGGAGGGAGCTCAGTGGTGGGTGTAAAGCTAAGCGAAATGGTTCACGCACCTCAGAGGATTCCCTCCCTTGCAAAAATTGGAATTTCTGCAGCCGGCAAGAGCTGTTGGACATATGCCCCCCTTACTGGATGAGACCACGTTCCACTAACAATAAGCTAGTCGCGAAATGTGCTTCCAAAACATTGCCTGGCGCTATCGCAACATAGGGGGCATCGCAGTGGCGCTGCATCCCAAACCGCGTAAAATCTCCTTTTTATTGGCAACTGGACTAAGCTTTGGTTGAAGGAGGAGGGGCTCCAGGATGGGCGAGAAGTTTCCATTTTTCCCGAAATTCCTGTCCTTCCCTAGGCCTAGCCCCCGAGGATGCCCCCGTATCTTGCGATAGCGCCAATTAAGCTATAGAACTCGAAATTGAGGTCATTTGCGCGTTTTCGAGAAGGAAGGTGGGTGGCGAATGTGTCGATTAGAAACAGGACATAAGTGAGTTAGAGGGCCGGGCGTCGCAGCCTGCCGACTGACGTACTTCTCGTTTTGGAAGAAAGTGTCCGGCATCCAGATCTGTTGAGATTGGTCCGCATTTTCGCTGGTGGCCAACACCACGAACGGCGGCACCTGAAAACAACCAACTCTTCCATTTCTCACCTTTAGGTAACCACAATGAGCTTACCTCTGTAGACTCGTCTTCAAAACGACCGTAAGCAAGCCTCGCATCCACCCATTCTTCTCGAAAGGTGAACTGAGCACTGTATTCCATGTTGACGTCGTCTATTTTTGAGATTGAACGTAAATAAATGTTTACCGTAACCAGCACGGGACCACCGGTATCTGGAAATTCATATAATTTATGGCTAGCAGAGGGAGCGATTAGAAAGCCATGGGCTGGATACCAACCTGGCCAGGAAGCGTTCAATCCTCTCGGCCTGACTCTCCAATCGTAATTGTTGAGAATACGTTGGATGATTTCCTGTTCTTTGAGTTTCCTCTTGCCCTCAACTGAGGAAATCAGAGTGCTGATGGTACAGATCAGGGCCACTATTGGCCCTATTCGTGCCGCCAGAGGGACGGAAGTTCGCATGCCTTGTTGCGGTATGTCTAGATCGATGCCATTAGATGAAGCACCTGCGCTTTCACGCGTAAAAGTCAGAAACTGAAATGAGCTCAGAATTGTTCGACTATTCCATTCAAGCATGCAGTCAATCGCTCGCACACCAACGAAACACCGTAGAACCAGGCAAAAACGAACGATTCAAACTCAAAGACACGACGGATCGAAAGCGAGGCTCATTTAGAGCTCATAGAGGAATTTCTAGGACCTCAGGTGCAGTTTGAAGCTTTGAGAGGAATCGCGGAAATCCGGCTGACAAGCCAGGCAGCCAACTGCCAACAGGGCGAAAAGTCTCACAAAAATGTGATAAAATAATAGTTAAGAAGAGAAAACAAGTGATAGAGATTCCGAGAGGACGAGTATGCTCGGTGACAACACCTAAAATGGGCGGTGCCCTGGGTGGTGGGCAAAAACGCGCTCTTCCAAAGAGTGGCTGGACTTCCGTCCGTGCAGAGGAAGGCGTGGCCGAGTCGAGGCAAAGCCATCGATTCGGGACTCGAAAGAAGCGAAATACGAGATCTCTCCCGAGAGGGGGGGCGATTACGAAGTCGACGAGTCAAGCGTCAAATGGGGACAACCCACTTACCCATACCTTGGTTGTCCTCTCCCAGGTGCGGTTCTATTGCGTTCAAGGCTCATTCTTAGTAGGAGTACGGGATCGGTAACTTACTTACCTGACGTTCTTTGCTCGTTAGATTAACCCAGTTAGCCGGAGCGGGTAACGCCTCCCTCTCCCGCATCGCAAATGTGTAAGTAGCACTTGAGTAGATAAAGCTGGACTTGAATTTTCGAAAAGAAACTCCTCAGCTCGGCTATATTTGGGGATCCCAGGGAGGACGGCTTAATGCGGTTAATACGCGTCACACGAACGCGAACCCTTGGCTTACTAATTACCTTCGTGAAGAAAGGCCGTGTTAGGAGGTTTTTCAAATGAAATGCTTCTCATTTGTGAGCCACATCCGCAGTAATTGTCACAAAAACAGGAGCGACATAGACAGCAACGGTAATGATGGAACTAATAGACAAGCTGAGGGTCGGAAAAAGTACAGGAACCTGCAAAAGCGCCAAAAATTGGGAGCTTCATTCAATATTTCCTTCAAAATATGACAGGCAAAGAAGGTTAAGCACTTTGGAGCGCGCCACGCCCTTGTCCTTCTTCACGTAATCGGCGGGATGTTAATTGGGCACGGGCGGAATTCCCTTCCAGAGCGGGGTAGATTGCCAGCTACAGAGAGCAAAGCAGCAGCTTTGTCTTGCCAGCTAACATAGTACGTAGGGGCCATCCGAAGCCTCACTGAAGTCACCAGAGCGAAGGAAACAACACGAAGCAGGCCGCTACTGGCCTTCTATGCATCGCCTGCTGTGAATAGCCGTCATTTCGGAGCACAAGCTCTCTCGCTGAATAACTTAAGCTGCGTTGAGAAGCCAAAAAAGATAGTTAATCTTCGTAGGTGTTCTGTCGGCGGAAGCCAGCCAACCAAACGTACATCTGCAACGGAATTCTTTGCTTTCAGTTCGCAGTAATCACAAAAGAAGGCGCTATCGCAAGATACGGGGGCATTGTGGGGGCAATGCATTAAGAACCACGTAAAACATCTCCTTTTTGTTAAAAACGGAACTGAATCATAGGAGAGGAGAGCAGATTCAGGGTATTCGTGAGCAATTTATTTTCCTTCTGGCGCCTGCCTCCCCTAGGTAAGGCCTTAATTCTTTTTTTCTGTCCTAGCAGGGTGCCTCCGTATCTTGGGATAGTGTCCTGTTGAGATAATATAATCTTTGAAACCGCGTCAAACATCTCATTTTTGTTTAGAACGGGACTAAGCCCTAGGCAAGCGAGGGGAGACTTCAGAAATCGTAAGCAACTTTCAGTTCCATTCAAAGTCCCTCGGCGCTCCTGGGCTCAGTACCCCAGGATGCCCATGTGTCTTGCAATAGCGTCTAAAAGCAAGTACTCAGGATGCCCCTGTATCTGCGATAGCGTCCAAAAGCATTTAGGAATTCTTGTCATGAGGGAGGTTTTCAATGATGAATGGCTCGAAAAAGCCAGGTTTCCCAAGTGTGGCAATTTCATGGGATAATTCCTACAACGGAGGTAGCCAGTTCGGTCTCAGGAAAGGGGTGGCGCTCCCAGAAACGCCATAAATGGACGATTCGCAGTGGCGCTTACCCCCCAATCACCATGTCGCGATAGCTTCTCCTGGCTGCTAAATCCAGTAGCAGTGATAGGGTCTGTGAGGTTAGGAGGCTTTTCACTCCCTGGTCCACTCAACCATGGCACAATCGGAGGCTGTCCAATAGGGCTAGGCATTAATCATAGGCATAAGAGGCATTGGAACACTAATTCAAACTGAATAGTCGTAGAAATGGAATGAAAATGACAGCGAAGTTCGATGAGCGTGGCGGACATGGCGGCCGTTAATACAAGTGCGAAGTGATGTAATTTCATGGATTAGGATCGAATTTCTCACAGCTCTCGAATTCGCAGCCGCCTCGCTTTCGCTGGAAAACTTGCCACAGTTCGCAATAAGTGCGCTAATGGATCTCTCATGCGGAAAAAAATCCCATGAAATTGCCCCATTTCACAAATTCACCCACATGGGATTGAGTAACGCTGAAGAGGAAATGAATCGTGTAAGGGTAGAAGAGAAATCGGCCCAATCGGGTGACATTCACCATCAACCATTGTTGTGGCTCTATCGGGTGAATAGAGCAGCTTAGCGCCTTTCTCCTTCATCTCTCCGGAAATCCAACTGCGTCAATTAGGGCCCCGTCGACTCGGCGGAAACACACTTCTTCGAGGCTTTCTCGTCACCGCTTCCCGTCCCTCCTACGGCTCGGCCTCTGTCTGGAACTTCTAGAAGAAATCCAGAAATCCGGCTAAAAACATCACACAGGGCGACATGACGGGAGCACGACAGACGGGATGGCTGGGCAAGGTGGCCGGCATTGAACATTTCGTGGTGACGGCCACGTTGTAATGGATCATCATATCCACTTGACACTCATATTGAGGGCTAACGGCCTCGTCAATCCTATACAACGGCTAGAGAGGCACACAGCGAGTCGCAAATGGAAGCAAGGCTCGTTGAATGCCATTCGCGCATGGTTCTGCCGGCTTTCTTTTGCCTCATTGAGTCTTAAAGAGCTCTTAAGGACCGGGATGCCGCACTGCATGAGCAACACGACTCTCAGCCTTCCCGAACGGCTGCTGAGTCAAAAGTTCCCCACTCGGGCGAATGTTCGAGATTTGGTGTCCCACTAGGACAACTACGGGGTGAACTCGAGGGCTTGACTAACGTTTCTAAGTCAGCTGCCGCTCACGTAAATGAATTCGC